ACGTGAGACGTGATACAGGGTGAACAGTAGAGGGTTGAAGAGGGACGTGAGGGATACAGGTGATACAGGGTGAAGTGAGACGTGAGGTGATACAGTAGGGTGTGAAGGGACGTGAGGTGATACGAGGTGATACAGGGGTGAAGAGGACGTGAGGTGATACAGTAGGGGTGGAAGAGGACGTGAGGGTGATACAGTAGGGTGAAGAGGACGTGAGGTGATACAGTAGAGGGGAACGGGTGACGTGAGGTGATACAGTAGGGTGAAGTGGACGTGAGGTGATACAGTAGGGTGATACAGAAGAGGGCGTGAGGATACAGTAGGGTGAAGTGACAGTAGGGTGAAGAGGACGTGGGTGATGAGTGTGAAGTGGGTGATACAGAGGTGATACAGTAGGGTGAAGGGACGTGAGGTGATACAGTAGGGTGAAGAGGACGTGAGGTGATACAGTAGGGTGAAGTGGACGTGAGGGTGAAGAGGTGATACAGTAGGGTGAAGTGGGACGTGGAGGTGATACAGTAGGGGTGAAGAGGGACGGAGGTGATACAGTAGGGTGAAGAGGACGTGGACGTGGAGGTGACAGTAGTGAAGGGACAGTAGGGACGAGGTGACAGTAGGGTGAAGAGGACGTGAGGTGATACAGTAGGGTGGTGAGGTGATACAGGAGTGAGGTGATACAGGGGGTGAAGTGGACGGTGATACAGTAGGGTGAAGTGGACGGAGGTGATACAGCAGGCGGTGACGTGATGAAAGGATGATCAGTAGGGTGAAGAGGACGTGAGGTGATACAGAGGGGTGAAGAGGACGTGAGGTGATACAGTCGGAGGGTGATACAGTAAGAGGACGAGGTGATACAGTAGGGTGAAGAGGACGTGAGGTGATACAGTTGAAGAGGACGTGAGGTGATACAGTAGAGAAGAGGACGTGAGGATACAGGGGTGAAGTGGTGAAGTGGACGTGAGGTGATACAGTAGGGGTGAAGTGGACGTGAGGTGATACAGTAGGGTGAAGTGGACGAGGTGATACAGTAGGGTGGCTGGACACAAGTGAGTGAGGTGATACAGTAGTGAAGACAGGGACCCAGATTCTGCATAGTTGCCAAGTCACCATACATTTAAGAAGTTGTATTAATGAGAGTGAATTTGATGTGGAACCCCCGTGATACAGATGGCTGACACAGGTGCAATGAGACAGGGACCGTGTACGACCGAATGTGATAAAGGCAGTTACAGAGGGAGGGACAACAAGCTGGAGCTTCAGAAATTAAAATTTGTTTCATGGCTAAACAGGGAGAAGAATACACCATTATTATTATTATTTTGTTACGTAAAAGAAGAATACGAATCCGTTCCACAATTCCTTCCTCAATATTTCAATTCAATTTGGTATTTTAAGTTAATTGAAGAAAATAATGTATAAAACCTCAGCATGTGGAGGACACAGGCAATGAGTTTTTGATGAGATTGGTGTCTGGTGACGTGTTCGTTATGCACTTATGATATGAAAGCAATCAGGCCATCCGCTATAAAGAAAATGATCGGTAATTAGGGTTAAGTATATAGTAATCAGGTCATCACTTGTGGAGATAATGACCGGCAAACTCTCATCTCACCTGACGGCATAAATTTGCGGGAAAAAACATCAGAAGGTGAGGATGATCAGGTGAGGTGACCCAGGTGTTAAGGTGGACTGTTTTAACACGAGACGCAACTTGTGATAGTGACAGCTGGTCCTGGATATCAGTGGGGTCAATTCCATTTGCAATCCCCTCATAATACTAACTTGGCACATGGGTACCTAACTCTGAGGTGGTCTGAGGTGGTAGTGAGATGATTGATAAGAGTGTCTCTGGTGGGTGAGAGGGGTGGATGGTATGCCACACAGATTATGATGGAAGCAGTGTGGCTCGGGTGGGCCCGTGGCACAACACGTACCCATAATGCTTCCACATCTGCTGGGACTTGAATATCCAGGCGTGACGGGCGTAGGTCATCTTGACAGAAGAGGACAACGCCCCCTCCGCGTCTATGTGAACGAAGGTGATGAAAGAGTTGATATCCCTCAATATGACACGTTTCAGGCACAATTTGCCAAGCCTCACATATGGCAACGACGTTAGCAGCGACTGACCTGAACGTGGTCGCCAGCTCGTCAAACTTGTTAGCTAAGGAAGTGACGTTGGAGAGCAGGAAAGTCGGGAGATCATACCATATCAATGGAACTTCAGTGTAATGGTACGGTCTGTCAGGGGTGGGTTTCTCTGGTTTCCTAGTGGAGGTTACGGTCCTAATGAGCTTCTGTTTATGACGCCCCTGTCTACGGCTGCATGCAAGGAATATGTTCAATGACTTGAGTCTCGCGATAACGCTGTCATCAGGATAACCGTTCCCACGCTTTAGAAGGTACAGAGAGCGTCGGGAGTAAGTAATTGGTGGCCATCTGTTAATATCTGTTGTTGTGGACGGATGGAAGTGTTTGTCCCCGATGACCATAAACTCACTGGCGGCACTTTGAGGGCCACTGACACTGGTAGACATCTCTTAATATTTGTCAGTCGTAAACACCGTGAGTCCTTGTCTCTGGCACTTAGGGTCGCCGACACAGTATCCACGATATATGTAAACACCTCGGTGGTCCTTGTCACTGACACTTTGTATGTATGTATGTATGTAAGTATATACGCGTACATGTATGCATGTATATATATATTTATCTTTGTGTGCATATGATGGCTAATCATTTTTAAATGTCACGAGGATCTTGAGATACAGAGTGTTGCACACACACACACACACACACACACACACACACACACACACACACACACACACACACACACACACACACACACACACACACACACACACACGAGCATTATGACCAGTACCACCCTGTGACTGTGGCAGTAATGGGGAACCCTCTGACTTAGTCCACCATAACAGTATTGGCGGGGGAGTCACGAACCACAGCCGTCATGAACCATATTGTGTACTTCCTGACAACACTGAATCTTGACACCATCCACATGTACACGACAGCCTCAGGTGTGTGTCATATACTGAGAACCACAAACACAATACAGCCTCAGGTGTGTGTGTGTCATATATTCCCAGGCGTCAAAGCACACTACTTATACATTCTTAGATAATATCAGTCAAGTCTTCTTAAACATCAACTCAGCTTTGCAATAATAATATACACATTGCTTTTACTCTTTTGGGTCAGTTTCCTTTACACTTTCTCCATCATTGCTGCCTCACGTGAGACATGCAACCTTCACTTTTGCAAACCGGACCAGGTTCTGTCTCACACGCACACAAATAACACACACACACACACACACACACACACACACACACACACACACACACACACACACACACACCAGCTACAACCACCTAACATGCACGATTATATCCCACTTTGATGCTCGCCTGTTTTATGCGATTTAACCTAACCTAACCTAACCTAACCTAACCTAACACATATTGAACTAAAATTGGAATCAATACATAGGAGATTAGATTTTTTTTTAACTTCTCTCTCTTACGTGGTGTTGAAAGATTTGAGAAATGAAATTATGAAATTATTTTATTGTTGTTTCTGTGCGTCTCTTCTCATTATTTAATAACGGAGGGCTGAAAAAAATGAGTCAACTCCTAGGTCAGCCAGGGGAAGGGTACATACAACACTGAATACTAAAGGGGCGGTGTGGCCAACTGTATACTCAGCCTCCTACACTTGCTTGTCTCTAAAGTAAGCTGCTGTACATATTCACAGCTGGGTGAACGAGGGGTGTCCCGGATGCGAACAAGCGACCTATAGAATAGTAAGTGAATGTTCTATCTACTCGCCCCGCCGCAGCCATAACATAAAGGGTGATAGTAACAAACATGCGTCCAATTGATATGACTGCCTGTTAGAGACAAAGTGGATACAGTACATTGCAACCTAAGCCTGCAAAAGGGCAAAGAATTGTAAACACTTATATATAGGGAAGGAATGAACATGTGCTAGCTCTCTCTCTCTCTCTCTCTCTCTCTCTCTCTCTCTCTCTCTCTCTCTCTCTCTCTCTCTCTCAGATCACCAGGGAAGGTTAGGGACACACGCCTTAATACCTTGAGAGGGAGAGGAGAGAAGCATTATTAAATTCATACAGTGAGTGAAGGCTGGCTGGCTGACTCTACTTATATAGTGAAGGTTAAAGAAAAAGACTTATACTTCAAGTCGTAAACTGAAACTATAATAGAAAATTTAAAGTGATGAAGGAGTGAAGGGACTTACTTTAATTTATATAGTGAGTTAAAGGAAAAAGTTACTTAATTACTATATTGATAAGCTTAACTAAGGGAAGTGTGCCGGGGAAATACTTAAATACATTATTATAAGTGAGAGAATGGAATAGCAAAAAACAAACAAACAAACAAACAAGGAATGAGTAATTTCGGTTTTTGAGAGTAATCCTAAACTAAGGTTGTGCAAACAGGCAGGATACAGTACTGGCTTCCTATCCTGAGGGTCGTTGGTTTGCACCCGAGGCACCCCTAAGCCCTCCAGCTGTAAATGGGTGCCTAATTTTACAGCTGAAGAAGTGAAGGTGATTGAGTGTAGTGCTGGCCACGAGGTCTTCAGCGTTGTGTCTCCATGCTGCCCCAAACGGCCAAGAGGCTTACTCTCACTATCTTCAACTGCGGCAATAATATTTTCCGTAAGATATTTCCAGGACACGACAGTGAGGGAGAGACACACACATGGGTGTAGAGCAGGGGTCACCAAACTACGGCCCGCGGGCCGGATCCGGCCCGCGACGTCAGTTCATCAGGCCCGCCGACGGTACTTGAATTTGCTTGATAAAACGTATGGAACACGAGACGTTGTGATACAATTTAAATTTAAATATTATGCGGCCCGCGCTCGTCATTCTTTCAGTTATCCGGCCCACTGTGAAAAAAGTTTGGTGACCCCTGGTGTAGAGTAACACACCTGGGTGCATGGTAACACACCTGTATATTCCACTCTGGAGCCGCCCCTCTGCAGGTCGCCAGACGTCGGGTTGGTTTTGAGGGGGAAGTTGTAGTAGGCGATAAACCTCGGGCTGCCCCACTTCTCGTTCACACTGGAGGGAACAATAATAATAATAATAATAATAATAATAATACAACAATAATAATAATAATAATAATAATAATAATAATAATAATAATAATAATAATAATAATAATAATAATAATAATAATAATAATAATAATAATATTCTTAAATATACAGCTACTTTCACCTGCTCTCCGTTACCAATATTCCACTACAGTATTTCACTTTAAACTTATCCTACAAAATTCTCAACCATGTAACTCTCTCTCTCCTCTGTTAGCCTCAGTAGCTGCTCAAAATATTCGCCCCATCTCCTTTCTATTTCCTCTTTTATCAACAATATATCCGCTCTTTCATCCTTAACTGCCTTCTCTATTATTCTCTTCCGTTTCTCTCACTATTCCCTTCACGATAATATCTGGTTTATAGTTATCTTTAAAAGACTGTGAAAGCCTTTCTCAACAACTTTAATAATGATGATGATGATGATGATAATAATAATGATAATGATGATAATGATAATGATGGTGATGATGATGATGATAACAAGAGATCGTGAGCCCTTCTTGCCTTGTGGCGATTCCGGTGGTACAGTTTATCAAGACGTGAAAGTTCGAACGCTCGTGCTTGGCTAGAGCGCAACCGACATCCGGCTTTAAGTATACAGCGACATCGTTTTCCAGATGGTCGTGGTTGTTATAATCATGGTCGTGGTTATGATCATGGTCGTGGTTGTTATAATCATGGTCGTGGTTGTTATAATCATGGTCGTGGTTGTTATAATCATGGTCGTGGTTGTTGTGTTCATAGTCGTGGTTGTTATAATCATGGTCGTGGTGAAATATTCATAGTCGTGGCTGTTATAATCATGGTCGTGGTTGTTATAATCATGGTCGTGGTTGCTATAATCATGGTCGTGGTTGTTATAATCATGGTCGTGGTTGTTATAATCATGGTCGTGGTTGTTATAATCATGGTCGTGGTTGTTATAATCATGGTCGTGGTTGTTATAATCCTAGTCGTGGTTGTTATAATCATGGTCGTGGTTGTTATAATCATGGTCGTGGTTGCTATATTTATTGCTTCATTTATTCTTCTATTTACTCATCTTCCTTCCTTTACTAATCCAAACAACATTAAAAAAAAGTAGGCTTAGAAAAAAGTGGGGTGGGAGGAGGGAGCCATATGATAACTGCAATCGTGGGCTGACAGGGTACAGCGAATGAGGGTGCGCCAAGTCCGTAGAATTGCATCGTTTTCCAGCGTAAATAAAATGATTTTGTAATGGCTTCCTAAAGAAATCATCGATATGGGACTAGGTTTGTTCCACTCTACGATTTTTTTGCGATTTTTCCACCAAGTTTGAAGAAAAACGATTGTGCCGTTTCGGATGCCCAGAACACACACACACACACACACACACGCCTAGTCCTATAGTATATTAGATGATGATAATAATAATAATAATAATAATAATAATAATAATAATAATAATAATAATACTCCAGTAGTAGCAGTATATTAACCACTACTATTACTACTACTACTACTACCACCACCAATACCAATACTATTATTACTACTGCCACCACCATTAATAATTTTTTTTTTATACGTGGCCTCCATCCTGCCCAATAGCCACACCGTCCCCGCCATTTTATTACCTTAAAATTACTGTAAATATCCTAATACATAAGTAGCTATCCTAGCTGTGTTGAATTAGTTGAGCTACAGATCTATGCGGCATTCAGTGACTGTTGCGTCATAGTCAATATCTGCAACTGTTGTCAGCTTTGGGGCTGATGCTCTCGTTCCCCTGAGGCAGAACAAAGCCGACCGAAGGAGAGAGAAGGACAGTAGACATCTCATCCAGGCTGTAACATATCTTCTGGGCTGCTGCTTCTGTTCAGATAGCACCTCCGCGAGTCTGGCGTAGAAGCATCATGCACTTGGTCCCATCCCAACAGAGGTTGTGAACACCAAAGGAGTGAAGCTGCCTTGATCAACATTCTGAATTCTTTTCCCATATGCCCTTATCTTTTCGTTCTCGTTCCTCCTGTGTGCAGCATCGAGACCTAAGTTACGGTGACATGCGGCCATGGGATAAAAAATCCTGATGTCGAAGAAGGTTTGCTATCCCAGCGTCCAGAATCCTCGAGCACTGACGTAAACACGGGCTTCGTTGGATGTGTTTGGAAGTCCTATGTTGGAAGATCTCACCGTCCAATGGAAACAGGGTCGGTTCTCCCATGACATCACGGCAGATTTCCTTCAACATATTTGCTGTGAGATCCCTTACTTCATCATGTCTCATGCATATGAAGCCCCTTTCTTGCACACCATGGAGTGATCGACATCATAGGAAGAGCCACACACGCATTGGGAGGGCAAACCTTCCACTGGCCTACCATACCTTAGAGCATTGACATCTGTAAATTCTTGTTTATTGAGACTGAAACCATTTGCCCTTATCGGTAACGTAATTAACCAGTTCGAGGCGCCCACCTCCTGCGCTATAGCTACTATTTTTTTTTCAAATTCTCTGGTACCTGCAGCAACAGTTGCTGCAACTTATCACTTTGGCTGTGCTGTCGTTCTGTCGTAATGGATCTTCGAATCTTGTTTACTTCACTGGTATCCACCTCCCCTGTTGCGTTCTGAGCTATTATGTGGTCCATGAGGGCTGCCGTGAGCATAACTGAGTTTTGATGTTAGATGGCAGCAATCTCCTCTGGATTGGTCAATCCCATACCTCCCAGTCTCAGTGGTAGTGCAAGGAGTGATCTTTCTGCTGGGGTTAAGTGAGGGTGTTTCACTAATTTGGGAATGAGATTGACACTGATAGCTTCTTCCAGAGGGTGGAGGAGGGGTCCAATATCAGGGATAGTGCACATCAGGTAGTTCCAGCGATGCTTGACTCCATGAGTGAATGCCGCAAAAGCCGCTTGAGGCTCTGTGTTAGCAATCTCAGACAGTGCTTGGATTTCCCTAACCCACTCATTCACCTTTCCCATTAAGTACTCGGTATTGAAGTCAGTAGTGCCGATTACTGCGCCTAGGTGTCTTTGGCCTTCCTTTGTTATTTTGACCTCACTTCCACCGAACACCTCCATTGCCCGTTCATAATGTTCTGGCTTCACAATGAGGAAGGACTTGCTGGCGTTTGGGTGGTACCCCATTTGTGGGCCTCGTGATGTTACCAGGTCCCACCACTTTTTGATGTCCTCCACTTTTCCTGCTCCTGTAAGGTCATCAGCGTACACCACTTGTTTGACCTCAGTTGTTTCAAATTACTACCACCACTACTACTATTTATACTACTAGTATCGGAGAAAAGGGTGAAGAAGGAAAGAATATGGTTAAAGGAGGGAAGTTAAGAGGAGTGAAAGAGAGAGGGATGATGGGGAAGAAAAGGGTGATGGAAGGAAGGATGGAAGAGGAAGGAAGAGTGTTAAAGGAGGGAAGGAGAGTGAAATGATGGAGGAAGAAGACAGAGGGTTGATGAAGGGAGGGAGAAAAGGATGAAGAAGAGAGAGAGAGGAGGTGGAGGAGGGAGAAAGAGGGAGTAAAAGAGAAGGATGGAGGGTGAGTAGAAGAATAGAAGGAGAAATTTGAAAAAAATTATTGAAAGGGGAAGGAAGAAGGGAACAGGAGAAAGAATTAAGACAAATAAAATGAACAAGACAGGGGAAGGAAGGAGAAGGAGTAATGGGAAAGAAAATGAGGAGAAAGAGGGAATACAGAAAGGAAGAGGAACAAATGAGACGAATGAAGAAACAAGACTTACGAGAATAAGATTAAGTCTGAAATAATATTGTGTTCGGTTAGGTGGGGTTAGGTTAGGTTACTAGCAGTCGTACAGTGGTCAGCAGCAGTCATACAGTAGTCAGCAGCAGTCATACAGTAGTCAGCATCAGTCATACAGTAGTCAGTAGCAGTCATACAGTGGTCAGCATCAGTCATACAGTATTCAGTAGCAGTCATACAGTAGTCAATCAGTATCAATGCCAGATGGAGTCAAAATCAAAATATCTAAAGACACATTACACAAGCTTTCAAAAATCAAATCGAATTAAAAAGAATCCTCCCTTTAAAATAAAATGAAAAATTCGGTTAAAGTGAATATAGATTTTTTGTATTCATTTATTTTTCCATATATTAATTATGAATTATTGAAGCGTTAAATAATACATTTCGACTAAGTGTTGATTTAATTTTCTCTGTTTCTCTCTTATTTACATATTCATTTATATTTTTCTTAAATTATATAAAATAAATGAGGATTTTTATTTTTTTCGGGAACCAGTTTCTTTTTTTTTTTCTTTCTTTTTTCCTGGCTGCCGCAGTTCACGTCGTGTACAATAAATATTTCGACGCATTTTTCGAAAGTTTCTATTCTTTTTTTTCCGCTTTTAATTTTTTTTTGTTCCAAAGTTCAGTCAGTTTAAGAATATCTAATATTTTTTCTATTTTAACTTTTTTTTTTAACCTTCAGTATCTCTCCTTTCTTATATTTCAAAGTTCAATGAATGTAAAACACCAGGTATTTTGTCTTTTTTTAGTTCGCTTCTTTTTCTTTTCATTTAATTTTTACATCAAAGTTTCTACACGACAGAATAACAAATATTTTTACAGAAAGGCTCGGTGCCGCCGTCGACCTATTGGTACCACCCTGTGTCCATCGTCATGTATCCTGACACACGTCTTGGATACACACACACGTCATCCATGTATCGCAGACAAGTTTTGAAAATATGGATCACCTGAAGATTAGCCCCAAGTTTAATTCACCTGATGGTTAAACACTCCAACACTACCTTGGGTTAGGTTAGGTTAGGTTAGGTTGGTGTTTAAGTGTTTAATTTTAAATTGAAGAAGCTGGGGTGGCTGATCTTCATGTAATACTATAATAATATATACAAGTGAAAAAAGTGAAGGTGGGCACCAGAGACCTGATGGTAATGCGGATACAGTACACTGAACTCTTAGCCTCTGGAGTCAAAAGTTCGCTCCCTCCCAAAATGA